GGTGGACTTCACTCCACGTCTACCACCTACCTCTACAAAATACCGTCCCAATACTGCATTGTCCGTGACTGAGACTGGGTCACTGGGGGACTTGCAGTCGGTTAGTTGTGTCCGGAAGGTACCGTACAAAGTACCCCTGGACCTACTCCTCACTACATTAGCAATTCTGTGACGTTGGAAGAGAGCAGTAGAAGTAGGAAAAACGAACCGTACAGATTCATTGATATATCTAATTGACGTCTATACCTATTAGGGACTAACCAATAATCTAATATGTACTTTTTCACTATTTTCACTGATGTCGCCAGTCGGCACCTCTCTTCCCTGGTGTCACGAAGGGGGGAGGTGATACCTTGAACGGGGTCTCGCCAGGGACGAAGCCAGACTCGGTCAGGCGCAGGCCTCTCAAGGGGAGACACACACCTTGGCGCCTACAAAGTACGATCTCATTTTTCAGACGCCGGTGAGGGCAACCGTTAGCCGCGCGCGCACGGGCCAAGAGGGCCGGCACCCCTTCAACCCTACACTCGTCCCCCGATTAACACCGGTGACACTAGGCGGCCGTCGGAGATTTGCGACAGTCGTTCTTGCGGCCTCTCTGCCTACCCGCCCTCGTTTCCCCCTTCCAATCCACGAGAATTGTCCGACGCGCGCAGGGCTTTCCTGCGTCCTGTCCGACCTTTCGCGCCGAGTCGCGGCACTGTCTGCTTGGTTGAGGTGCGCTGAGAACAACTGGGAGTCTCACCAACCAAAGCCTTACGACACGCATTAAGCGCAAGGTCGTAAAGCGGCGTTGTCGTTTGAAGATCAGTGGTGTACTGACTTGCGTCAGCCACTCTAGACACCATCCTCTAATAAGGTCGTCTCCGTCCCACTCCTCGACACTGCCATCTCCATGGACCGATCGACTACTCATTGTGCCGGCTCGACGCTCTGCCACCGAGACGCCCGCGTTCCCATACGTCCCGACGGAGCCCAAGGTTACGACGAGGCGGTGCGACCGAGTGCCCAGACACCGAGTCCACCTGTGGGTGGTTGTCACAGTCTGTTCCTAACCTATTCCAGGCCTCGCCAGGCCCCCATTGAAAATCGAAGTTGAGTTAAATAACACCGGCTTTATCTAGTGGGATAGGAAAATGATAAAGTGCCAGGAGCAAATCTAAGGGAGGGGGGTATAGACTCTGTGGGCTTGAGTTTGCCCATTTGAGGTGTGTCTTGTTAAAAGCCAAGGGATTTATTTTTCTTTCTTTGTGTCGGCTGTACTTCTCCCAGATGGCAGTCATCTCCAGATACTTCTCATTCCTTACACAACCTGGACAGGGTGTGTGCTGCTGCTGCCGGTGTCTGCCTGACTTTCTCTCTTCCTCTGTCTCCCTCACACTCTCTCCACTTACCCACCTAACTGCCTACATCTGTCGTCCTCTCTTGCCTATAGCCCATTTTTCCACAGATACTTGCTCAGATAAAAAGTATGAATTAATAACTGATGAATGATGGCGCCCCTGGCAGTATCCAAAGAGGAGCAGTCTCACTGTTTAGTCTGCTGGTTTTAGTTTAGTTATTTCTTGGCCATTCCTCTTTCCTTTTGTTTCCTTCTTGCCTATCAGTTTTAAAACTTCACTTCATCCATGCTGGATAACGCTGTTATCAAGGTTATCATACTTGGAAGTTTTCATCCAGTGAGTGAGAAAAGCAAAAGGGCCTTTTGCCACAACAACCTGTTACAGCTCTTCTCATAAAGCCACAGCTCAGTGTCTAGGCCCTCTGCTTCTCTAACCATGCTCCGCCATAGGCCCTGTTACTGCTGATTCCACTCTCACGCCCACTAGCCTAACCACTATTCTTCACTGCTGAACATCTGAAACTCTTGCACCGTGCCGAAGCCCACTGCCCCAGTGTTGGCCTACCACGCTAACCACTGCTACACACAGCTGAAACCGCCGCTCTGTGCTGAGTCCCACCAGGCCGACCGCTCTCACTCCACGCTGCTGCCCAGTCCTCGGTGCTGAGGCCTGCTAGTCTAACCACAGACTCCATATGGTGGATCTGCTGGGACGCAGGTTTATGATGTCAGACCCTTGCTTGTTTTGGCTGTTAGCCAAAACGCACCGGGCTTTCCCTCTCTTCATACCTCCTTCTGTCTTTACTCTCTCCAACTTTTACTCTGCACTCTCTTATTCTCTCGTTTTCTCCCCCTCCCCCACCCCCGGCTGATCCTGTCTCCCTCTTTCCTCTCTCTTTCTCTTTCTCTCTGTGGCTGGCATAATATAGAGTGTCTGTGGTTTTTGTGGGAGCAGGGGAATCCAGCGCCGAGGCACTTTTCATTTAGTGTCCTCGGCGGCAGTGCAGCCGTAGTGTTTTAACAGCTGAGAGTCCTCACAATGCACAGGCGCTCAGGTTTTTTCGGCTGCGCAGGCAAAATATGAGGGCCAACACTCTACTGCATTGCCCAGGATATCTGCATCTATTAGATCGACTCAGGGGCCAACACACCAGCTATGGTAAAGAAGAGGAGGGAAGGGGAAAAGGAAGCATATGTGTATGCGTGTGTTAGTCAGGAGGCAATGACATGTGTTACGATGTGCATGAGTTGACCCCCCCCTGTTTCTTTCATTCCCATTATTTATCTTTTTGTCTACTTCTCACGCCAGACCACACTCTGTGGTTACACTACTGTCTCTCATTTTGCCACTTTTTCTCCTCATTCCTTCAAGATGTTACCTTCGTCTTTTCTCACATCTGTGCATCTTCTTTCTGATTTTATCTTTCACCTCTCTTATTATCTGTCAGCCTTCATCTCCCCTCTATTTATTCTTACATCACCTTTCTTCTCCCTTTCCCTTTGTGTACCTCTCAGTCTGCCTCTCTCAGCAGTGCATATGTCTTTGCTTTGGCCCAGCTGTCAGCTGCCTGCTCCTCCTGTACACACACATACACCCTGCACACATCTGCACATCTGTGTGTATGTCCATGACAGTGTGGAGGAGTCACCCTTCTAACCCCAAACATAAAGGAAAATGGGAGGCAGGGAACGATAGGAGAAAGGTAGAGTGGACAGAGAGACAGGGAGGGAGAGATAAGGTAGAGAAGAGATAGGGAGGACAACAAGCCAGAGAAAAAGAGTGGAGTAGAGAGAGAGGGAGAGAATAGGCATGCAGAGAGATAGCAGAAGATGAGGTGGGGAAAGACACAATTCGTAGAATAGCTTTTCAGCCCACACACTTGGTTCTGAACTTCATCATGTCTTCAGCCACTAATTCAGAGCAGTTCAAGGACTGCCAGAGTAAATTGTGTGTACCACGATCACTCCCTTCCTAAAGCTGTGAATAACATTTGATACATGACCAAGGTCTAAACTTAAATTAGGCACTGTGATAAACTGTGAAGAATTTGTATTGTAACTGTAACCAGCTGTTTCATAACAAACATGTCTTAAAGCGCAGATCAGAAGTAGTTAAGTCATTAATAAGAAAGTATGCATGAATGTTTTATTTCCATAAGGAAAACACACCTAAATTCTGCATGCTACATCACCACGTTTACTTCCCACAATTTGATTCCTACATAAACCAGTTTTCCACACGTTTTGGTAGCTCATGTTCTCACTTATTCATAGCATCTCTAAATGCAACCACAGTCCGCCGCTCTCCAAAGCCACATCACAGCGGAGGTTACACCTGTAGTCCAGCCCAGCTGTCTACATACACAGAGCAGCCAAATGAGCCAGCCCAATCCCTTAGATGTCCAAACCAAAACATTTTCTAGTTGTCTAGGCATGTTTGCCATTTCGCCACGGTCCAATCGGGTCATTTGGAGGCCAGATTTTGGTGTGGCGAAAGTCAGGAAAGGGTCAGAAAGGGGGTTTGGACAGACGGCTGGTAGCGTAACAATAAACACTGCTGTGGGTGTTGTGTGTCTGCCGATGCCTGGACATCTGCCTGTCTGTATGTCCTGTCTCTGTGCCAGCTGCACACCCAGCAGTGTGAGTAGTCACCCAATAAGGAGAAGAGATGTTGAACAGAAAGAACGGCAGAGAAAAAAGAGATGGAAATGATGGTGTCACGCACAACTCTTCCAACATTCAATGATGCTTGAATATTTCTTAACTCGTCTGTTTTTACTTTTTCCAGATGTATCCAGATGTTGCTGGTGATGTCCAATCCATTGCAGGTAAGAGTGTGCATGCATGACAAAGAGCGATCATAAAGGACAAGTTATATACATATTTTTGAATACATGCAGTTTTGTATTAGCCTGTTCATGACTTGTTGTGTGTGTGTATGTGTGTGTGTATGTGTGTTCTCAGCAGGTACTTGGTGTGGATGGGGTCAACTTCAGTGTGCATGTGGAGAACCAGACGCAGGTGCGAGACACCATGAGTCGGCGACACCACCGGGTCTACCAGCTCTACAGCCGCACCAGCGGCAAACACGTCCAGGTGTTGGGACGTAGAATTAGCGCTCGAGGAGAAGATGGAGACAAATTTGGTAAGACACACACACATAGTAGAACACACACAAACTCTTTGGTACATGTGAGTGCATGCACAGTTTCCTGCAACACATGCACACTCACACCGGGTGCAAGTACAAAGACTTGAAGGTTGACCAAGTGCATGCTTGAACGGATACAGAATGCAACTGTGCAGGCACACTCACAAAAGCACACACACAGGCCTCCCCAGGCTTTGGCAGAGGGGCAGTGGAGCTTGTCTTGGGAGTACAAAGACCTCATCGACTGGCTGCTGACTCAATGATTCACAAGAGAGCAAAAGAAAGAGAGAGAGAGACAAAGAGAGAAAGAAGGTGTCAGTGAAAAAAAGTGTGAGTTAGCTGGAGAAGCCTGGCAGGTAGAGTGTTGGGCCGAGTGTTAGAAACTCATCTCCTTCATCGATCCCTCCATTGATTTCTCATCCTCCCTGTTGTCTCCTCTGGATTTAAAACAGCAGGCTTCCTCTCCCTCCCTCCCTCCCTCCCTCCATCTTCTAACACTCCCTATGTCCATCCCCCACTCCCTCCTCCTCTCCACCTTTCTCCATCTGTAATGATGTCTAAACCATTCTTAAACCACACACAGAATCAATGGGCAGAAGAAAGCCAAGCCATAAAGCAGCAGTTCATATTTCTGCATGTGCCCCAGCGGTGGCTCATGTTGCACATCCTTATTGATTCACAAACAATTTAAATTGCTAAGATGCCACTTCAAGCCATTGATGGGAAAATAGATGTAACAGCATGTTCGCTTTGAGACATATGCCTTTCCTAAACTGAACAATCTACCCAAAACTGACCAACTCTGGCTATTAGGTAGTACGCAGGGGAACAGAGCAGAGAGAGGAATTCAAGCAAAGAAGGGGCGGGTGCATGAAGGTATAGACTTGAAGCGAATGAGCAGAAGGGAGACGAGAGGAGAGTTGGGGGAAGAGAGAGGAAGAGGGCAAGAGGGAGGGAGGTATTGATTTCTCTTGACCCCTTTGTTGACTAAGGTCATGTAGGAACCATTTTAGGGATTTATTTTTAAACAGGCACAAGCGCTCTCTGAAGATGTGTAGTTGGTAAAGCTGTATTGCCTGGGAGGATGAACACACACACACACACACACACACACACACACACACACACACACACACACACACACACACACACACACACACACACACTTACCTTAAAACAACAGTATCACAGACACTCAGTCTGTGTTCTCCAGCTACTCTTGGCCCACCGTGCTTCGTCTACTCTTGGCTGTTATCTTTTTTACGAGGCCCATTTGTGGTCAGCGGCCTCACATGAATGTGTGTGACCGGGCTTATCTGACAACCATCTGTCCAGCCCGGGACATTTACACCAGTCTGTGATTTATCAGCATATTTAACAGCAATCCTAAAACGGTGATTCAATGTGAATGCCTTATCTGGTTTAAAACCCCTAATGTCATTAAGAAGGTGTCTGGTAATCTGTGCAATTAATGGCAGACTACTTGGTCATCGGTTTGTTCTTGTAAGCTTGAATGTGGTTATTTGCTTTATTAACTGAATACAACATGAAACTTACTTAGCTTTGAAATCTGGGTCATCTTTAACTTTCTTCCCTTTATATTTGTGTGATATAATGTAGGCCTATTAAACCTGTGAGGTCCTGCCCTATCAACCTATATTTATCTGAATTGCCTGTGGCTCTAATGTCTGTCTGTCCCTCTGTCTGTCCCTTCACAAGCCCAGCTCGTAGTGGAGGCTGATACCTTTGGTAGCCAGGTGAGAATCCGGGGCAAAGAAACCAATTTCTACCTGTGCATGAACCGCCGTGGCAAGCTGGTAGGAAAGGTGAGACTTCAACCTTTTAGAGACAAAAATTAAAAATATATATTTTCCAGTTTCCTGACCAGGCTCTCTTTGTTTCTCCATATGTTTTTGTTTTTGTGTGTGTGTGTGTGTGTGTGTGTGTGTGTGTGTGTGTGTGTGTGTGTGTGTGTGTGTGTGTGTGTGTGTGTGTGTGTGTGTGTACCTCTGGTTTCTCTGCTCTCTCAGAAGGCCAGTAATCGAAGCGAGGACTGCGTCTTTGTGGAAAAGGTTCTGGAAAACCACTACACAGCTCTGATGTCAGCGCGCTACACAGGCTGGTATGTGGGCTTCACTAAAAGAGGTCGTCCTCGCCGTGGCCCCCACACACTCCCAAACCAGCAGGACGTACACTTCATGAAGCGCTTCCCGCCAGGGGAGCAGCCTGACCTCACCACCCCCTTCCGCTTCACCACCGTCAGCAAGCGGGGAAAGCGGGTGCGCGCTACCGGGCCCCGCTAGTAGTGGCTAACACTAGCACCCACTTTCCTGTCATCCAAAGCCTTGACCTGAGCCTTCGAATGGCTAACCCAGTCATCTCCTCTGTCGCACAAGACTGAACACCTCCGTTTGTTGGGACAAACATTGACCAGGAATTGATGAATCATTCATGGGGCTTAGCTTTACACCTACTAATGTGCCACTACAGCCCCCTAGTAAGTGATCCTTCTTCTCAATATAAGATCCCAAACTGGACCATAACTGGTACATCGCTGGAAGCTCTATGGACCTGGTCTGCTCCCCTTCGTTGGCCAGAAATACTGACAAAGAACCTGAAGGCCACCAAAGTCCCAGACTCTACTAAGGCCTTTTTTTCCACAAACACAAAAACAAGGCCTTCATGTCTCCTGTTCTGGACAAGCTGGACAATTTAAATTTGGGATTACAACTGGACCATACAGAGAGAGAACAAGGCAGGGAAGGCTGACTTAACAAGAGAGTGGGTGCTAGTCCTAAGGATAAAGGGAAAACAGGAAGGAGAGGAAAGGAAAGCGGACAAAGGGATTGAGTGATCTGCACAGATCAAATGGACCAAAAATGGACTGTTGACATGTGACGCACTTATTTGTCTCACTGCTAAATTGGTGTGAACCTGTGAGACTGTTGGATGAATGAGTGATTTAGTGAATAAACGCATGTTTGTAAGAACAAGAAGTTGTATGCAAGAGTGTTTGTGTGTGAGTGAGCGAGTGTACAAACAACCATGAGTGAAGCTGGATCACGAGGGACTCTGGAAAGGGACCATCCAGCCCCTGCATGAACCTGTGACAACTCACCGCAGGGACTGAAGCTTTAAGAACTGGAATGTATAATAACCAAGCTGCACCAAAAACAGCCAACCAAACCAAACCAACCAAAGACAAGTGGAGATCTTCTTCATGACTCCTCCACACACCCTGCCCCCCCGAGGACACTACACCCTCAGCTTATAGGTGCAGAGGATGACGAGTGCGGTTGGGGCACGGTGCGGAGGTTGCCTTGTCTATTAGCATTGCTATAGAAACGACCCAGGGGATGATGCTCCTGTGCGATACCGTGGAAACAGAATGCTGCTACCAGGACATTCAGTGGAACAAACCAAAGTCTCATGCATACAAACAGGAGAAACATATTAAAGGGAACAATTTATTGAAAGTTATATATATATTATATATATAAAAGAAGACAGAAACCCTAAATAAGCAATCTTACTATGATGGTTATTATAATTATTACGATAAAATTATTTCATTTATTTATTTCAGCTCTGTGTGCAGCAGTCTTTCTCGACTCAGTAAACCTTACAGAAACATTTCCTATGTGTCTCAGCCTCTTTGAAATGCTTCCTCTCATGTTTTTTTCTCTCACAATGATTATATTTAAGAGATTCATGTTCATCAATAATCTGGATGTGATCGCCTTGATTTATTGTTCGATTGGTTGTTCAACGAAAAATGATTGCCAAATTATTTGAGAAAATGTTTATGTCATGAATCAAGCAATAGGGCCAAAAAGGTGGTTTGAAGGTGTAATGGTTTATTCTGTTGTATCTTCTCTAGGTTATAGACTGTTAATTGAACAAAACAACCGTCTGAAAACATTTCCCTGGGCTCAAAGAATTTGTGAAATGCAGTAGGGTTAAAGATATGATGATACCATACAGTTTATAGTAAGATATTCATTAGTTTAATATATCTGGTTGTTCTAGACCATTGTTGGCATTATTGCGATCAGTGGGTAGGAATATTTCATGCTATTATTGGGGTTGCAGAATGTTTGCACCAATGACCCTACATTTGTTTCATCTATCTAATCATCTGGATTAACCAAAAACCAACATTGCCCTTTTGTGTTTCTATCCATTAACAGCCATCTTTAATAAAGGGGAAATTAAATAGTAATGTAGTTAAATAAAATGTGGTAAATAATAATTTGACCGTTTACAAACAATGAATTTGTAATAATGATTAATGTTAGCAATTTATAGTTAGAAAGTCAGACAGCGAAATTCACCATTTCTCAGAACCACTAATCTTCCAAACTGGGAAAAGATCCCAACTTCCTTAGCAGATTTCTAATAGAGACAAGGTGCAAGAACGTCAGATATGCAGAAAAACAGATTCTGTAGTTCATAGTTCTCATAAGCACGGGTTGAAGAACTGAAGGTCAGAACTCAGACATTAGATTGCACAAAGAAAACAATCTAAGATGGAACAACCTTACTCATGGAACCCCTTCAATATGCTGAGCGACTGTTTTGTGCAAAATCAACAGTGACCTCCACATCATAAAGTTTTGCCATGTGTATTCAGCATGAAGGATCAGACAGAACAGTGGAAGGGAAACATGCAGTAGTGAGATAGAGTTTCATAGCTGCTTCTCCTCTCATCTCTCCGGCTCGTATCCCCCATCCCTCCCCTTCCTTCCCTATCCTAGCAGGGGGTCACCGAAGAGATGTCGCTGCCAAATGACCCAATCATGCCTGCAGACACAAACAGCTGACTCAGGGGGAAAAAAGGGGCTGTACCAAAGGATTCCTATTGCAAGGCAGCAGGAATCTGCGCTGGAGGGGGTGGTGTAAGGGGGAGACAGTGGGGTGGAAGGGAAACGGGGTGTGGGATAGAGAAGAGCGAGTAGGGGGTGGTGGGGTGAGTTGTTCATTTCTGGAACGTTGCTCCAGTTCCACTCGGGAATGATGGAAATATTCTGCGTAGCCAAACCCAGAGTGGAAGGTGTATGGTAATCATGTCGGGGAAGGAATGCCAAATATGTGCGTGAGAACGGAGCTGTGACCTGAGAGCTGCAGGAATTATGGGCCAAAATCCCACAGACCCAGAGGAAGCACACACACCCATATTCAACTCATACACACATCATATACTAATGGTGCTCCACAAAGCACAAATCCATCCCACATAACTTATTTCCAGAATTGAAACATCTAACTATACTAAACCCAGATATTTAGGAATCCAACGCTCCCATACTTCTTCTAACCTAGAGAATGCACATTGAACAATAACCAGACAGATGCATTATCGAGCTCAATTACACTAAACAGATCTTTGCTATAAAGGCATCACTTTAGGCATCTCAAACACACATTCCTACTTAAAAGTTACATTGTTTACAAGACTGAGAATGTGATCTACTGTAACAGGTTGTTTAGACTCCAAACTTTGATGCCAAACCGACAGAGCCAATGTCTAACTAACAGATTACACTGTGGGAGAAAGCTGAGGGTATACTCCCACCTGGTGGCCATGCTTAATAAAGTGCAGTCCACACTTGTATAACCAACATTTGTTTCTTGTGAGGTGATTTAAGTCAAAGCTATTAAAAAGTAATTATGATTGTAATGCAATGCAATTTGCAATACAAGTTACTGCAGCCTGGAAAGCCTATGATTGGTTAGGGAGAATCAAATTAATTTGTAAGGCATATAAAATGTGGTTATAAATAAAACAAAGTAGATTTTAATATTGTGAGTCAGTGAATGCAAACTGGACTGCATGGGATGCAAACAGGACCTGTCAATCAATTGTACTCCCTTTAGAGAGTAAAAAAAGGGTATGTTTAACTGATGAGGGCCTGAACACTGAAACATTGCTGGTATCGGGAAAAGTGATAGTAAGTTGTAGGATTCTTTGGAGTTTTCCGGTCAAATGCACAAGTTAAATTAAGGTAACAGGACAGTGTAGATCGACTGAGACACATATATCATTTTGAATTCAACGTTGTACCCACATACATACATACATATATATACACTGAACAAAAATATAAATGCAACACTTTTGTTTTTGCTCCCATTTTTCATGAGATGAACTCAAAGATCTAAAACAGTGCATATACACAAAATAACCTTCTCTCAATATTGTTCACGAATCTGAAAAAATCTGTGATATGAGGCACTTCTCCTTTGCTCGAGATAATCCATACCCACCTCACAGGTGTTGGCATATTAAAGAGGCTGATTAAACAGCATGATTATTGCACAGGTGTGCTTAGCTGGCCACAATAAAAGGCCACTCTGAAACGTGCAGTTTTGCTTTATTGGGGTCTGAAAAACATTGGTACAGGATATAGTACATATACTATATACATACTAATAATAACTGTACAAATGTGTTTCAGGAAATACTCCTTTATAAATGTGAATGGGCAAGTATAATCCAAAACGCGCCAATGGCTGCTATCGCATAATGCACAGTGGATACAATCAGCAATACAGGTAGCTCGTAGCCAATAGTAGCACACTTACATTTAAGTGCAGGCACAGGGATCGGAGTATGTTTTTATGTTTACATGAGCGACTAAGTGTCTTAGTTAGTTGATGAGAAGTGCTTTAGGACGTTCCCAAGGCTTATGTGNTTATTTAAGAATGTGACTCTTATTGGTAGTTTTTGATTTAAGTCAGACAATCCAGTTAAACAATGTAGTTTTTGATGACTTTACTGATTTTTACACTTTAATGGATGCAAAACTTTACAACTTGGTAAAATATGAATTCATTTGTAATGAATTGAGTTTCTTAAAGAATCAAACTCTAAAAGGAACATTTGTGATTTTAACACTGTTTCGGTGAAACAATACAGTTTTGATAACTTTAAGACTTTTTAAAAATGTTTTATTTTTAGATGCTTTACTGTGAATTATTTCATGTTATTCTAACATAACTTTTTTCCCTCTATGACTTCGCTCATTATATTTTGAAAAAGTACACAGAGATTTTTATCAACATACAACTATTACAACATACAAATCAATTTTTGTGAAATATTTCAACATACTTTACATGTACCTTACACACACACACACACACACACACACACACACACACACACACACACACACACACACACACACACACACACACACACACACACACTAAAAGTCTAGTTTGTGTGACCTTTTAAAAAAATATATACAGTATGTTATGATATTCTGATATACCATACTATCAGAGCTCAACCTCATTTAAAGCTATTGCTTTCAACTCAAATAATGACCTACTAAGACACTCTAACAGGTTTCACATCAAAGGGGTGATAAAGTCTTATCACTCCTCTATTGTGCAATATCCTTATCAGGGGCTATAAACAAACAATTTGTAAAAGATAAGAGGGTCAAAGGTCAGATGTCAGATGTCAAAGGTCAGATGTCAGAGTGACAGGTGCCACTTCAAAGGGATTTGGAGGCGGGACTAAGGTTTATGAGGGTCATAAATCACTCTCTTATCAGGTACTTAATCTCATGTTGACACATACGGTTGTCTTAATACTACTCGCTTCAATCCGAATTAGGTCAGGTCAACTAGAAAAAAAATAGGGTGCATCTCTACTACGGGGGGCATTGCTTTGGTCACTATTGGTTCAGTTTCTCTTATATAACTTATTTCGAGTGAATGAGCTCTGATAAACCCACTATATGCTAAGCGCCTCGCACCAAATGAAACACATGCATTAAGAGCCAGAGATTTCCATTCGGAGTGGCGGAGGCAAATCAAATGTCAAATGAAACACTCATCTGACTCCTAATGATAGCTAATGTTGCTCTGCGTCTGCTCGGAGAGTCAATATGTGACTTATGTTCCTGACATGTTTGATAAGGTGATACTTTATTACTGTTGTGTTGTTGTTTTTTCTTCCTAAAACCCAACTAAAAAGCAAAACATTCATTTGTTTACTTTGAGGGGGTCAGCTTCCTATTTTGGGACAATTGGAGGCAAGTCCCCATCATCTAAATGTGTAAACGGTCCCCACAATGTGACACGACTGTGACGCAGAGACACTGACCAGCTTCTTGCCGGTGTCCTCCTCTGGGTCAGAGTTCAGAGGCTCCTCAGCGCTGGAATATCCGTCACGCTCCTCTGAGGCGTCCAGCGACAGGGAGGTTTTGTTCCAGCCTGAAGAGAGGACGAAGACAAGCGTTTAGTTCACAGCAACACTCATCTTCTGCTGCCGTCTAAAACGTGCGTGAAGTGAGGAGTCTAGGAAGTGTGAAGAAGTGAGAGGAAGAACTTTAAAAAGCTCTATTGAGAAGAGAAAGAAAATGCAGGTAATCCCAGGAGGAAGCTCTCAGTTCCACAGCTACAAAAAGAAAAAGGCGTGACTTATTTTTTTCAGGCAGACTCGGAAGTCAGCAGCACCCTGAATCCCTGTATAAGAAGCCAATGGTATTTTTTTGTTTTTTTGTTGCAGAAAATAAACTCTGTGGCAAAACAAAAGTTTATAAATCACATGTTTGGTTCAGCAATATCATTTTAATAAAGGAACCCTACTTTGATGATTTTATAAGCGTAATTGCATATCCTAACAGTCAAATAAGTCAAATTAGGCAATAAAAACAAACTACAACCTCGTTGCATGATCTTAATGTCCCCACTACTAACGGTACGTCCACACAGCAGCGTTAAAAAAATCTTCCAACGCTTCTGCCCATTCACTTTGAATGGGGTGACGTCACTTTGCCTCACCTTTCGCCGAACTGCATTGTGGGAAGCAAAGCGGAGATTTCCAGGCTTCAAAAGTTGAGCAATGTTCAACTTTTTAATCTTCTGAAGCTTTCGGTGGAAGCGTCAGCCAATCAAATCATATCCCAGTACAAGCTCTAGCCAATCAAACCGCTGCTTGTGTGTCAGGGGCGGGAGATTCATGTCATTGGTTGTCGGTCGAGCTTCAGACACGCCCGCCGGCAAGCTTTTTCCAAAGCCGCTGTGTGGACGTACCGTAAGTGTTCAGCATAATGACATTCGGTAGTCTTGGCAACCACTTTTTTAAAAGACATATGAAACCGAGGAGATTGGGGTACAGGTTGAAGTATTTTATAATAATCTCGTATGCTTGTGTTCGCCACAGACCTTATTTCCGGCATCTCACCAAAAAACCCAAGGGAGTGAACCAGAAGTGTAACATTCCTTACTCATTCTCAGGTTTAAGAACTAATTCATGCAGCATTTTATTTCTAAAAAACGTCAAGATTAGGAGGACAGGCATGCGTCTTCAAATATTAAACTCTGTGACACAAACTGAGGAAAAGTGGCAAGCAGAACTTCTTTATATTAGTGTGTAATTCTATGACTTGAAGCCTGAGAGGAGCGTGGTGACGTGTTACAGCGAAGCATTAAACAGAGAGGGTGTCTATAAGGGGTGATAGTGGTGAGACAGTGAGCCCAACACCGTGTACCTCTCAACTTTGTCTGTAAGAGACTAGAGGAGCTGCTCCACCTGACCCTGTTCAGGTGGAGCGGGGGAGGACCTGCATCTGAGGGACAGGAGGCGACAGAAACGCAGCTAGTCATTCACAAGCAGCAGCTACAGCCAATGAGATGTTAGAGACTCTGAGACAGGAAGCAGACAGGAGGAGAGTTCAGGTGTTGATGAACAAACTACCTTTGAAGCCGAATGGCGTCGGGTCGCTCTGCCGTTTCGTCTTGTGATCGGGGCTCGGAGGAGAACCTGCTGTAAAGAAAGAAAGATCGATTTTAAGATGTGGGTTGAGTCAAGAAATACATCACAACTAAGGTATAGACATTAGGAAGGCACATCTTGATGAGAAAGACACAGACATGATTTAGTTAACAGCAATATTTCGGCTCTGATCATAATGGCATAACAGCTGGATTAGAGAAGTAGAGGAGAGCTAACACAAAAGGCCGAAAACTACACTGAACAAAAATATAAACGGAACGCTTTTGCTCCCATTTTTCATGAGATGAACTCAAAGATCTAAAACATTTTCTATATACACAAAATAACCATTTCTCTCAAATATTGTTCACAAATCTGAAAAAATCTGTGATAGTGAGCACTTCTCCTTTGCCGAGATAATCCATCCCACCTCACAGGTGTGGCATATCAAGATGCTGATTAGACAGCATGATTATTGCACAGGTGTGCCTTAGGCTGGCCACAATAAAAAGGCCACTCTGAAACGTGCAGTTTTGCTTTATTGGGGGGTCTGAAAAAACATTGGTATCAGATATATACATATATATATACATATATATATATCTGATACAAATGTTTTTTCAGGAAATACTACCTTTTATAAAATGTGAATGGGCAAGTATATCCAAAACGACCCAATTGCTGCTATCCATTAATGCCACAGTGGATACAAGAGCATTACATGTACTTCTAGCCAATAGTAGATCACTTACATTTAAGTGCAGCAACAGGGATGCTGTATGTTTTTTATGTTTACATGAGCACTAGTGTCTTAGTTATGATGACAAGGCTTTAGGAGTTCCCAGCTTATGTGCTGCCTTTGTTAACACACCCTGCACTGGTTTAGAGAAATGTGGAAATGCTACTGGAGTACAACAGAAACCGGGATCGCTAGTTGGTTCCAACTACTACTTTGATGCTGAGAAATCAAGACCCACAGTGCACAAAGTTGATCAGGAACCTGGATAGAAACATGTCTACAGGGATATGAACACACAGGTTTCACATACATCAATGAGATACACTCTGGTTTAAGTGGAACAATCTCACTTGACCTTGCAAACAGTTTGACATAAAGAAGTATTGACCAGCAGCTCTGCATCCTTACCTCTTGACAGCTAGTTTCTCCCCCTAAAGGCTGAAACTTGGCATGGTTGGCAGGTATGGCCACGGTGAAGATAGCTTTTGGATGAATATTGGACATTAACTCCGGAGTCTTCCGGTCATGATCACAGTGAGGGAAGTCAGGACGTAGCTCTCATCGTAGCCCTTGCCCTTTACCACAGGGTTTCAATTACAGACTAGAAAGTAGCCAGCTGAATTTTTTCGTAGATAGAAGTAAATTAGCAATGCACAAACGATTACTTGTCCAGTAGCCCAATACACATTCATTTAGAGATTATATTTAGATTGGATTTATAGGCCGAAGATATGGATTTTCGCATACAAATATTCATACAAAATAGAAAAAGCAGTTTGTGTCCTTCCTGTGCAGTGTACATTTTTTTCAAAAACTGACATTTAAAAAACAAAACAATATTCATGTTCAATAGTTGAAGCACTAGAAAGAATAGATGTGGCTTTTCTAGTCCAGTGGATTAATACAATGTGCTGCATTGATTTGGAGTCACTTGGTCACGTAGTCTGGAAGCTAATTGAGTAAATCAAGACTTTCAAAAAAAAGAAATGCAGACTTTCAAAAATATATTCATATAAAAGTTTCCGGTGTGCCAATACAACCTGGAGTCCTTGGGTTGCAGTATATGGAAACTGTTAAATAACGATATTTATATAAAATAGAAGAAGCAAACACACAAAACCAGGTGTGTCCTACTCGTCCAGTTATGCTGTGTTGATTTGGAGTCACACGACAAGCTTTTGAAAAGAAACAAGCTGAATTTCGATAAATAAATAATAAACATCACTAAAATCCCATCAAAAGAGGCGTCCTACTTGTCTAGTGTAGTTACACCATGCTGCATTGATTTGGAGTCGCATGACATGGAAGCTATTCAGAAAACAAAAAAACAAATAATTGCATCTACATGGCAGATAGCGGTAGCATAGCACAAACCCACTCACACATGCACAGACAAGAACAGACAGACAATTAGACACTCATTCATGTTACAGTTGGTTCGACACTCCACCACTGTCAAGTACTTTATTCACAATAAGGTCATTTTCTTCTTTAAAAAATCATTTTTAATATACAACACAATTTTTGACAAGACAACTCCGTTTACAGCTAAATTTGAGCTCTTGAGTTCCAGCTTCTCTCATAACCAAAGCAAGCACGTAGATGATGGTAAGAGAAAGATGGAGTGGAAGAGACAGATGGACAGGGTCAAAGTTAGAAGAAAGAATGAGGAGAAGACAGTAAGAGAGGGAAATAGAAAGAGGACTACGCTTAGTATGATTTTTGTACTAAGAACCAAAATACTCAAATAAAATGAGAAAATAACAGTAATAAAAAACAGTAAGAAAGTAAGAGTTAAAGAGAAAAAAAAGCAGAGGTTACCGGGATGCTGTATCCAAGGCAACCTCACATGCATGTCTGTCTGTTTGACGCTTCAGCTCTGTTCTGCCGCTTCACAAGTCCACATACACAAACACTCACGCAAATTTGAGTGTGTGCGCCCCCATATTCCAAGCGAGTGTGCATCTCTGGGGGTTAGAGGGGCGTGGGGGGGCACGGGAGGGTGGAGAGAGACAGGGAGGAGTCTGGGGGAGTGAGAGGGAGCAGATAAGTCATCCCATTCACATTTCTCCCTCATTCACTCCCTTCATCTCCCATCCTTCCCTCTTTTTCTAGAGCCGAGTAAAGAGTCTCTGTCTCCCGCATCACAGCTCCGGTCATCCTCTGTCCAACTGTGCCACTGTTTGTGTGTGTGTATGCGTGTGTAATATATATATAAATATATATCTATAAGCAATTCCATTTCTGTGGAAACCTGGGGTTGAAAACTGAGCAGAAGAAGCTGCTATTAGCTTGTATTAAGGGGACAAAAAGGAGCCTGTGACTTATATAAGGTCTAAGTTAATACTGTCATTAGTGTACTTTACAAAACATAAATTAGTAGAAGAAGATGAACTTCTTTGGGGAGTTGTGTTGATTCTGTAGTAGGGAATCCTCATCAGTGTTGGCCTGTGTGTTTGTGTGTGCATGTGAGAGTACTGGCAGGCAATGGGCACAAGCTCAAGAGTCTGTCAGAACGGGCAGGAGGAGGAGGTGTCGGGGTCAGGGTGGACAGAGAGATGACGAGGAGGAAGGAGAAAAGATGGACGCACCCATCAGCCAAATAGCCCTGGGCTCCTCCAAGAAAGGTTGTGTGGATGGCGCCACCTGGAGGGCAGGAAAGATTTAACAATTACACAAGGGTCTTGGCAGAGAGCGTTATCATACTGGCTGAATACAACATGCACAAACACAACCTTATCATGGGACATTTTTACAACAAGAATAAAAGATCTCATCATCTAAGTTTGACAGTTTGTTTGTACCTGCTATCTAGAAATGTAAGTGTAGGTGCGGGAGGGAGACCGTCCCTCTGACTGGCCGTTGGTCGAGACGTTCAGGAAGTCCCAGATCAGAATGGTGTCGTCGTGAGAACTGCTGATGATCTGAAACTCATCGAACTGAAGGCGGAACACGCGGCCAGAGTGCTCCTGGAAACACAATTCACAGATAATGTTTACATTCATACAAACAGGCAGAACATGGATGTTTCTGGGTCAGCAATATCACACATTGGTTGCAGGTTGACTGAAAAAACATCAATGTAAAATGGTTTGATTTATCCATCACATATAAAGGCTTTACATCTGGGAAGCACTGGACTTCCCCCACAGATATATATTAGAATACATTTTGAAAATCTCTTGGCAGTCCAACCTCAAAGGACTGTCACAAGTCTGCGATCCCATCAGGATCAATGATGGTAGACTAAATGTCAGTAACATCCCACAGAGTAAATCCACAGCAGATCAACCAGTGATAATACACTTAAGAGAGGCAGATTCTACTAAATGTTTTGAAAACAAAACTGATCATTATATCTGGCTTTACAATACAGTTTACTGAATAATTCTTAAATTATAAAGCATACATTACAAGTAGGTAACAGGCTCTCAGAAGGGACTTACCACTAGAGTGCGCAGACATAATGTGCTGGCGGGGGCTCGTGGGTCCAGCGCTGCCTGCAGGTCCCACACCTTGATCTTGCTGCAGGACGAAACCCGAGACGACAAAATGTCAGACACAAAATGCGTCTCCTTGCAGAAAGCTGTGTGTGTGTGTGTGTGTGTGTGTGTGTGTGTGTGTGTGTGTGTGTGTGTGTGTGTGTGTGAATGATACTGACCCATCGTAGGCGCCACTGACAATCCTTTTGTTATCGAAGCGGATGCAACGCACCAGCTCCTCGTGACCTTCCAGCACTCGCAAACATGCACCACACTCTATGTCCCATAACCTGGAGAGAGAGAAGTCTCAGTAAACACATAAGATCTCTCAGCTTTGACAGAGGGCCGCTTTTACAGAAGAGCAGGGGCCAGTTATGCCCCCTGCCAATCTTTGGACAACATTAAGATCATCATCAAACAAACAATTTAGTTGGAGGTGATTTTAATAATGTACATTTGAAATATAAATACAACATGATATCAACCATTTACATTGTATTTCTCACACGTACCGGATTGTGTTGTCAGATGAGCCGCTGACCACCAGGCGATCTCTGTACTGTAGACAGGCGATGCCCCTCTTATGACCGTTTAGAGTGCGCACAAACTCACAGGTGCTGGTGCTCCATACCTACAGGGGGCAACACAGAGAGCGCTGTGAAACAGTGGCCTGTATTTATTCAGGAGTGCATCTCACCAAAGCTCATGATGATGGATTTGATGTAGGAACAAAGGGATTGCAGTAGAGCAGTGTGGACACCTCACAAGAGACGCATCATTTCAACCAATATGAAAAATAAACCCCTTTGTGCTCAAAACTTTTAAGCCATTTTCACACATGCAGTGTATCCATGTAACGTGGGGCCAAGTGTGAAAGCTGTATTTAAAAGTATGATTGCAGTGACAAGAAAGAGGGGCTCTCATGTGGGGCGATCAAACCAATCACAAGAGTATAACAATGACGTACACCCACACAGTGAGAGACCATAAACAACACGTTTTCACAAGTCATCCATTGTTTTTCTAATAATGCATGATTCAGGTTACAGTAACCCACGCAGCATAACAATCACAGACGATTGTTGAAACTTTGACCTTTTACTATAGTTTAGTCAAACAGACTTTTAATAACATCCGTATTCCTTAACATAGGAAAAGTCAACACCCAAATATCCATACATGAGGCCTGTCTTGCCACTTATTTTTCTGGTTAGTTTAATGGCAGTTGGAATGTTTAACTGTTGCAATACCGCCACCTGCTGGACTGTCCCTAACCCCATGTTTTCAGGCATTGCCATGTTACGTATAAAAATAAGGGTGCAAGAAAGAAATGTTTCTGAAAGTTGAACATGTGTGAATAGTGAAAATAAGCTGCACTGCCTGAAAGGTTATCTTAGTCATTTCCCATGAACTGTGTGAGACAGAGGCTTTATAGTAATAACATGTCATAGAGCCCAAGCCCTGCAGCAGTTCTCTAAATCACTCCTCAGTTGATGTTACCTTGATGGTGCGGTCCCCTGAGGCGGACACAATGTATTTGTCGTCAAAATCGACCACGTTGACGGCAGCTCGGTGTCCCACAAGGACACGACGAAGGCTGATGTCAGTAGGAGAGGCCATGTCCCAGACGGCAATTGAACGGTCTTTCGAGCAGGTGACCATCAGGCCGTTGGCGAAGCGCAGGTGAAGAACTGCCTCGTTGTGGTGGATCAGTGTGTTCAGTACCTCACCCGTCGTGACCTCCCACACCCTGCAGAGGAGGAAGGGAGAGAGAAGAGAAGTGGGAGGAATGATATGAGCATAGGAGACAGAGGAAAAGAAAAGGCAGGAAGGAAAAAATGGAGATGTGAAGACAAAGTGTGGAAGGAATGACAAAGAAGTGAGAAAAGTGGAAAGTGATAGGAGGAAAGGGGGAGTAGGACAAATAAGATATGGGCATTGGGGAGAGCAGTGAAAATGAAAAGAAGGTTGAGGATGCAGAGTGGAAAGGAAATGTAATGGGAATGAAGAAGAAAAGGGAACAATAGAGACAGGAGAGATAATTATGTTTATTAGTTTTACAATGGTGAGTAACTCAAGCTTCACACGCACACACTAACATGTCACTGAACTGTACCGCTGGGCATTGAGAGGGAAATACAGAAAACACTGGAAAAGCTGACAACCAAAACTACAAACAAAGTGCCCGTCAAGTTGTCGCTAAGGAAGTGAAGTCACATTTTCCTTGGATACCGCCCAGCAAGTAGGGCTGAAGTGTGAATTTATAAGAGAATTAATACTGAGCTTCTGTGTGCAGTAGCCAAGCAAGTCTCAACATATACAAACACGCCAGGTCTTTAAATATCGGCAATAAAACTGTTGTACTATCTCTGGTAATCATAGTAAATCTGACTCATAAAACAAAAAACAGCCTCATGTTTATTTCCTGTAAGCAGGTTGGGTGGGAACTAACAGTAAACTGGAGGCGCCTCAGGTACTTTTAATACTAGTTTAACATAAAACTGTTACATTTGTTTTTATATGTTTCTAGTTATTGTGCTTTTTAATAATCGTTTTATTATTTGACTCATTGTGTTATTTTTAGGGCTGTCAGTCGATTAAAATATTTAATCGCACATTTTTTATCTGTTCTAAATGTACCTTAGAGGGATATTTTTTAAGTTTTTAATACTCTTTAACATATGAGTGGACAAATATGCGTTATGCAAATGTTTGTTTATTATCATTTGAACATTACAAATATTCACCTCAATTCAACCTGGTGTGTGTGTGTGAGAAATGCCGCTCCTCTGTTTTCATAACTGTCAAAGCATGAGACTGAAGTTCCCACTGTGGGTCAAAATAATGCGCCGTGACCCCGAGGTAACTGTCATTACTGAGTGAAGTCCAATAGTCTCCGGTGAGTCTTTCTTAAATCCTCCTCTGCTTTCGCTGTTTGGACTTCATACGAGTTGTGTATTTTCGACAGTGGTGGCTCTGGAAGGCAATTCATAAGTGCAGTCGTTGGATGCGACCTGAATTATATGACGCAGCCCCTCCTCCTCCACAATGTTAATTGGCCTTCAAGATGTAGCCAACCATTTAGCGATCTTTGTTGAAAGTTGCTGCTCGTAGACGTGTCCAGGTGTCTCCCCAGCACACTTTCAAGTGTGGTCTTCTGCAAGCGGGCGGCAGGAGCGGGGCTGTCGGCATCAGCAGTGTGCTTGGATTGTATAGATGGTATTTTAAACTCGATGCGCTCTGAAACTAAGGGGCGGCCGAGGACAAAAAAAAATGCACATGCGTTAATCGCGTTAAAATAATTAGTGGCGTTCATTCTTTTTTGCATTAACGCGTTAACTTGACAGCCCTAATTAATATATATAAATACAAATAAAATAATAAAAAAAGGTTACTCTTTCTCTCTGTTTAGTTCTTTAGACATATCCTTCAATTCTAAAAAATGCACACAACGTTCCCAAATAAATGTAGAGGGAGCCACCAGGAAACAGCTATGAGGCGCTTTGCATGGAGGAGGCACATATCAATTAAAGCTTTTTTTGTATGTGAAGATTAGTAGAGGAAACTCCCAATATAAACAATTAAGGGTGAAAAGGTAGTTTTATACCTATCATATCGTCAGCAGGCAATACCTCGCACCAAAACTCTCTATCTTCCCCACACTCCCAAAGCCGGCAATGAAACAACGTCCCTGAGATCTCATATTACATTTCAATCACTGGATGCTCTAACTATTATCTTCATAACTATTATTAGCCACAAAGTGTGATGCGTGTGGGGCCCTTCAGATAAGCAGTACCTTATAAGCAGGGATGTGTGTCACATTACAGAGGGTGGTGTCGTACAGGCCCAGGAACTGCAGCGGCCTCTTCAGCTCCTGGAAAGGATAAATGCTGCTCTTGCACGGCTCGATGCTGAAAGAAAGAAAATCATGACTGGTAAAAAGGTTAATTGGCAAGTCAAATACATTTAAAACAATAAATAACAAATGTTCATATCCAATGTAGACTCTAGCGTTGGTCTCCCACCTCGGCCGCCCCATAGCTTCCTCGATGTGTGGGACTGTGCAGTTGTCGAGCATTATGTGCCCGGAGATGTCCAGAGACACCAGGTTGACCAGGCGCTGTACGATGGCCGTCAGGATCTTCCTGCTCATCTTAAACTTCGAGGTGCGCCTGCTCTCCCGGGAGATGTCAAGATGCCTGAAGGATGAAGAGTGTTAGCACTGTCAGTGACACATTCTATTCAAATGAATATAGGCCACCTAAAGGTAACACCAAATGAATGGGGACGTTTTCATTATAGTTAAATTAGTTTTGAAAGTTATAAATGCTAGAATTCAGATTTTGTATAATATGTAATGGGAGCACAAATCTTACGCCCAAATTAAAAACATCCAAAGCAATCCATTAATCTAGTTATTTAAAGTTTTAATAAAATAAAACAAAACATAACAGCTGAACACTGAGCTGAAGCTCTCTGTAAAGCTGAGGGCACAGCACATTCGGACTCAAACCGCATCATTTCAATGTACAATTGGTGTTTTAGTCACGGACGTCTGGATCTTAAGTTATCAGAGCAACAAGCTGAGCTAGCTCGGTTAGCAGCGCCAAACTGCCCTGGAGAAACACATGAAACTATTATTCAGTGTTTTTACCTTTAATCAAGGGGTCCGTTTGCTTTGGAGATTTGAATGTGATTGGTGGTTTGCTGTGCATGCAGAGCCTGCATGTCACTCACTCAAGTACCCCTGACATGAGAGCCGCGCAAGTTTTCCTTTTGTAGCAAGCAGCAACATAATTGTAACATGACGTGTTTTAGTTAGTCCATTTATTTTTTAAATCGTCACTGCGCATGATCGCGATTATCGTCACCACACGATATATCGTGCAGCCCTACTCCATACTACTAGAGGTCATAAGCTCCATAGGGAACCTTTGATACTGTGATTGTTTACACTCTGGTGTAGTAAGAGGATCAGTTTAATACTAATTATTGTGATTCATATGCTCTACCTTAAGACAAATATTTGTGTCGATGTTTGGTGCGAAAGACAAGGCTACTTGGATAGAGGAAGTTACAGAGGACCTTTGTAATGCTTCTGAAGTTGGAGAGAAACCTGTATTCATACTGAAAGACAGTGAGTGAATGGGTTCTTTGTGAACTTGTAAACTATTTTCTGCTAGAACATATATTTCAACTGAAAAAGATGAATATAACCTAGTGCTGTGGTGCTGAGTAGAGAGCTCCAGAAAAGTAACTTTTTCTTTCAATTCGTCCTTCTGCAAAACGTAGGAGTTGTCCTTTAGTAATAGGTGACCGATAAGGTTTGGGTGTTAAGCACATCTAAAAGGACTGAAGATCCTTAGTAGGTCCATACATGACACAACTTCAGGGCAGTGGCTCGTTTGATTTCAACTCAAATTCCACCAGCACAGCAGAACACTCTGTGTTGTCGTTTGTCATTTAAATACAGAGCAGACATGATCAACTGGCAATATTTAAAATGCAATACCAGGGTATGTTGAGATCATAATAACAAATGGTACATTAAAGCCCCCTCCCACCTTACCTGAGATTTACCATCTCCACAATGGTACTGACCAGCTCCTCTGACAGGTCAACGTTGTAGAGCACAAGAGAAGCAAGTCTGTCTTTCCACTGGGTGAGAAAAGCTGTTCCCAGCAACTGGACATTAGACAGATCTAGAGAGGTGAGCGACTTCAGGGGTTTGAGCAGCGTCTCAGCATCCACCTCGTCTGGCAGGCCTCCTAAGTTGAGCAGCCTGAGGCGGTTGAAGCCCTGGAAGTTAAAGTCTGTCTCTAAAGCTTGCCTGGAAGCAGGGCTCTCCTCCTCCTCATCCTCAGTGTCTTCGTTGCATGCGAGTGGGGCACCGCCCTTCCTGTAGAAGATGTGGTTGCAGCCGAAGAGACACAGAGACACCAAGGTCTCACGGAAGCTGATCAGAGATTTCAGGCTGCGGGAGGACAGACTGTTGCAGTAGGTGAGGTGGAGCTCAATCAGGTCCTGTTGGAACACACATACGACAAATGACTGATCACTGAATCATTTTAAAACCATACTGACCTAAATATGCTGCACTCATCAAGGACTGGGTATAGGAGCTTTAGCATAATACTAAAGCTACTCTGTGGTGTTCTAACTCCCAGGAATGACCTTGCTGATGCGCTATACTGTGTGGATAAGTTTGTTTGTTGCTTCAATTAAGAATTGGTAGGCTCGTTATCAGGTGCAGCATAATACAATCCATCTATGGTCTCAGTGCATAATAAAGTCCACATCCATTCAGATGTTATTCATTGCCTGAACAAACTATCATTGGGGGACTTACACACTCGTGCTTGGGCGGTCAAAAGCCCTATGCCCTTCTGGGGTCAGACACACCCAAATATGTGACATGACACATCATTAATACCTGTACTCTGGGTAATAGGACAGCAACACCCTTTGCTGGGTTCTTACACCTTTTCCAAAGTCAAATTCAAGCACTTTTCAAGCATCTTACAGCTGTTGTAAATTACATATTTATATACACATACTTATCCTCAAATGATTATTTCCCTACCTCACATTAAATCAGATGTTCTTTATGCTATAAACAACCAAATGTGTGTTTCGTGATAGCATTCTACATGAGAATGAACAATTAAAGAAAAGAAAAGAAAGTTTAATATTTCAAAATGAGTGGCCTGAGTGATCTGTAGTATAACCTGGCTGAGCCAATATAAAACAATCAGCCAAATAACTTAATACATTATTGATTACTATTTTTGAGGTACTCTTAGGTTGGCAGTAAACATAAGTCAGAGGTAAATGGTGTACTTGTACACCACTACATCTATCTAATACCTTTAGTTACTTTCCAGATGTGGATGAATGATGTGAAATATAACCAAGTGTTGAATCAGACTTTAGTTCTACCTGGAGTAAATCCACAAGCTACCCTGCAGTATACAAAGTCATTCAAACTAGCTGCACCTTTACCAGCTTTGAGAACACTTTAATGATCAATCATTATAAAACATATCATATTTATTATTCTGAAATGGACTAATCTGCACAATGACTACTTTTACTGTCGCTACTTTAAGTATATTTTGATGATAATACTTTTCTACTTTTAGAGCTAGCTCCGTGAGGAACATTTTGAGTGCTGGACTTTTACTTTAACAGAGTATTCCTACACTGTGGTACTTCTACTTTTACTCAAGTACAAGATCTGAGTACTTTTACTTTTACTCAAGTACAAGATCTGAGTACTTCTACTTTCACTACAAGATCTGAGTACTTCTACTTTTACTCAAGTACAATATCTGAGTACTTAGTCCACCTCTGGTAGCGTATTAGCCTGAATTGTAGCCACAAAATCACGCAGAGCTGCATAGAAATAGACTCACAATGGTAACAAGTGGAAAATAATATTTAAAATTGTGTACAATGATTTGTAGGTAATTTTGACTACTCAAGGCACCTGATTTATACATCTTCAAAGGAAGATTGTGTTCATTCTACAATTACATGGGATTAAAGCAAAATGTAGTTTTACTTGTATAACGGCCCGTCCACACTACAGCTTCGACAGCTTCAAAAACGGTTTCCAACGCGTCTGCCCATTCACTTTGAATGGGGTGACGTCACGTTGCCTCGCTTTTCGCCGAACTGAATTGTGGGTAGCAGAGCGGAGCTTTCCTGGCGTTTCAGGCTGCAAAAGTGAGCAAAGTTCAATTTTGAAGCTTCTGAAGCTTTCGGTGGAAGCGTCAGCCAATCCAAATCATATGCCAAGACAGCTCTAGCCAATCAAAACCGCTGCTTCTGTGTCAGGAGCGGGAGATTCATGTGATTGGGTTGTTGGTCGAGCTTCAGACACGCCCGCCGGCAAGCTTTTTTTGAAGCTGTAGTGTGGACGGGCCGTAATACTTCAAGACTTCATATAAAAGCCTGTTTCTAAAAGTATCAACCATAGCGACGCGGTCAAATCCTCAGTTTATAATTTATAACAATATATTAACAAGCTAAGGTCTAATTACGCAACCAAGTCTCACGGCATTTCGTGTTATAGTCACGAAATAAATGTAATCTATTGATTCGTGTTCACCAACACGATTTTCCCATTTTTTTCGAGTCACACAGAACGATTTTAAAAGCAATGTATTTCTATTGGTAGTGTGTTTCGTGCCTGCGTCTTTTTGGCCGGTCGAGTCTTGGAAGACCGGAAGCTGTGGGGTTCATAAAAACATGTTCTTACTCAATATCAAGCCACGATTATTGTTTTTTTTTTTTAAATCGTATAATGTCAGACTTTTTTTGCCGTCTGTGAGGACGGCAAAAGAAATGGGGCTCAGAGCCTCAGAATACTGAAATATACTGAATACTGAAATCTGTATATATTTTTTTCCTTCTAATTTGTTATTATTTGTGACCCGCTCTATCGAAATCAGTCAAAAGTCGCAACGGCTCATTTAAAAAATAAACGTGGATTTGTGTAAAAAAACTATTTTTTCAGGGTTCGGGTGTTTTGTTTGATTTTAAATAAACAAAGTCTTGGCTTTCAGAATATGAAACTGTTATTGCCAAAACCTCATGATAAATACATTTTTGAAGCTTGTAAAGGGAAGAAGAGGCACCTCTCAATTCGCACCCTGCTCTTCCACAGGGCCGCTCCCCCTCCCCCCGCTGAAATTATGAAGTAAAGGCGTATAGTAATCATAGATAACACCACATGGTCCGGGACCGTTTGTTTATTTGAAAACGGATGAAAACAAAGTAATTTAACGTCACAGCAAGCATAACAACAGCCGGTGTTTCTTGTGAGTGTTTCCCCGGTACACAACCACAATACATACAAACGCAAAAATACACACACACTCGCGAGCTTCCCCCAGACCAGTAATACAAGCGAAAATGTGTCTTCGGGTCAATGTGACTGATTTCTATAGCGCAAGTCACATTTGGTTTAGGCACGAAACATACTACCAGTAGAAATACATTGCTTTCAAAATCGCTCTGTGTCGAATCAATAGATTATATTTCGTGACTAGAACACGAAATGCTGTGAGACTGGGTTGAATTACAACAGTGAGTGCTTCATCCTCTGAACACCACAGGATGGCGACTGTAACGCACATATTAACATAGGTACGCTCCTCTGAAATGATTGTCCCCTGTAATTATTATTATCCCTCATCGAGTTCGCTATTCAGCTTGCTAACGTTAGCTTAAACCAGCGGTCGGGAACCTATGGCTCGCGAGCCATATATGGCTCTTCCGGTGACGGCATATGGCTCCCAGACAATTTCGAGTTGAAAAAAAAAAATGTTTAAAAAGAAAAATCAGTTTGAAACTGATTTTAAAATACTTGTGATATTTCTTAATAATACTGTGTCATTTTAAAGTAAACAGTAATTAGTTTTGAAGATAAATTTCACGGGTCACCCGTGGGTCGGGAACCAATGGCTCGCGAGCATGTCCGGGTCATTGTAAAGGTGAAGAAATCAATTTTATCAGATAGCCAACTAGTTTATCCGCTTCAACCCTTGTAACGGAAAAGATGGCGAAAAGAAAAAAAGAAGATGATTACCGTGCATTCCAGGCTGCGTGGACAGAGGAATTTGCATTTGTGGAGAGAGCAGGATCTGCGGTATGTCTAATATGCAATGATAAAATTGCATCGATGAAACGTTCAAATATAAAGCGGCACTTCGATACGCACCATGCTTCATTTGCATCGAAATATCCAGCGGGGGACAGCAGGAAAAGGGCATGCGAGGAGCTACAAATCAAGTCGAGGAAACACAAATTAAGGACATAAACGCCGGGACATACTTTTCTCTCGCGTTAGATGAGTCAACAGACGTTAGCCATCTATCTCAGTGCAGTATAATTGCCAGGTATGCTGCAGGTGACACACTGCGTGAGGAAAGCTTGGCTGTTTTGCCAATGAAAGGGAAACAAGAGGAGAGGATTTATTCACGTCTTTTATGGAGTTTGCTAAAGAAAAAAAACTACCGATGGATAAACTTATTTCTGTCTGTACTGATGGTGCACCCTGTATGTTGGGGAAGAACAAAGGATTTGTAGCGCTTCTCCGTGAACATGAAAAGAGAGCCATCCTAAGTTTTCATTGCGTCCTGCACCAGGAGGCGCTTTGCGCTCAGACGTGTGGCCAGGAGCTTGGTGAGGTGATGTCGCTGGTCATTCGAGTGGTCAACTTTATTGTTGCCCGAGCTTTAAAGGATCGCCAGTTTAAAGCTCTGTTAGAAGAAGTTGGGAATCATTATTCCGGTCTGCTTTTACACAGCAACGTGCGTTGGTTGTCAAGGGGGATGCTCAGCCGTTTTGCAGCTTGCCTGAGTGAAATCCGGACTTTTCTTGAAATGAAAGGCGTCAAGCATCCTGAGCTAGACAACACTGACTGGCTCCTGCAGTTTCACTATCTCGTGGACATAACTGGCCATCTGAACCAGCTCAATGTGAAAATGCAAGGTATTGGAAATACAATCTCATCCCTTCAACAAGCAGTGTTTTTGAAAGCAAGCTGGAAGTCTTTCTCAGGGACATTGAAAACAGGTCGTCTTCTGCACTTTGAAAGACTGCAACAATTTAGAGATGCATGCCTAGCAAGTGACTCCACTCAACATCTGGATCTCCAGCAGCTAGCTGGCTTTACGTCCAATCTCCTGCAGTCATTCAAAGCACGTTTTGGAGAATTTCGTGCGCGCACTGGTCTTTTCAAGTTCATCACTCATCCACATGAGTGTGCAGTGGACAAAATCGACCTGACATGCATCCCCGGGGTCTCTATCGGAGACTTTGAGCTGGAAGTTGCTGAGCTGAAGGCCTCAGACATGTGGATGAGTAAGTTCAAGTCAATTAATGGAGAGTTGGAAAGTCTTGCGCGACAGCGAGCAGAGCTGGCGAGGGAACACAAGTGGACAGAAATGAAAAATCTTCAACCTGAAGACCAGCTGATTCTTAAAACTTGGAACGAGCTTCCTGTGACATACCAC